TTAGTCTGCCTGTCCCACTCCACAACCCCCGTACAAGCCTTTTGCTTAGTGATAAACAGTTCAGGGCTGGCTGTAGCCATTTTGTGCTGCCGTTTGGTTTTAAATGGAAACTGTCTGGTTTAATTTTGAGGAGATCTGTGAGCATGTGTAATAGAACCCTCTGGGGGTGGGAGTGGGTATCCACTCGCTCAAGTACCCTCTCTAGTCACCAAAATGGGGGTGTGCAGACAGCAAGAGACCAATGAACAGATACAAAAAAAAAAAGAACGTCCACACCATTATCTCTGCAGTTCTGTGGCTCCTCTGATCCATCCCCCGTTCAGTCTCGCCCAAGATGGCTGCTCTGGGAGCAGCTGAGTGCCTTGGATTAGAAAGCACAGGATTTCTTGCATCTGCTACTGTAAGCCTTCCAACTTTCTAAATATTCCTTTATATGTGCTTCAGAGTTCTGGGACCATCCCCTGAGCCTGCTTGGTCCACTATTCTGTGTTGTTGCTGATGGATCTCCTCACTGCTCTTCTAGCCCATCTGCCATCTTGTTTGTTCTGTCTCTCTCATCTTGAAGTCAGTGGATGTCAATGGAACATGACCAAACTCAGCCCATTTCCCCCACTTCCACTCACAGATAGACCAGGGTGGCCACCAATGAGCATACTAGATTGTTCGCAGGTTCCCTTTGAGTTTCAGTCCTAGAACGGGGTTTTCCTTGTTTAGCTGACTTTTCTTGCCTTGATGCCTCCATCGCAAACAATTTGCTTGATATTCAAACAGCCCACTTTTTTTCTGCAGGTGTGTCATTAAGATTCTTCTCTTCTCCCAGCAGTTCTGGGTTGATATATACTTTGTATACTTTTACAACCTGGTTTTATTTATTTATTTTTTAGGTCTACTTTTTAAAGATTAGTCCACGCTGTCACTTATGGTATATTTGAAGGTTGAAGGCCATCTAAACTTTTAATCTCCTTAGAGATGCAGTAAGAGCCCTGGTGGTACTGTAGGATAAATATTGGACTGCTAACCACAAGGTTGGTGGTTCAAACCCACCAGCAGCTCCAAAGATGAGGCTGTCCACAGTCTCAGAAACCCCAGGGACACTGATTCATGAGTTGGGGTTTTGAGGTAGAGAGTTTTCTGTGTAAGTTGGTGCTCTCCATAGAGCCTGAGCCTTCTCATAATATTTTAATTGTGTCCTGGTGTGGCACTGTGGGTTAGTGCACCAGACTGCAAAGCTGTTTGAACTGCAAGGTCGGTGGTTCAAGCTTACCAGCTGCTCCTTGGAAACCCTATACAGGGTCGCTATGAGTCGGAACTGACTCGGCGGCACTTAATAACAGTTGTGCTAAGGATGCAAATAAATTGGTGGTCAGCAACAGTGGCTTTGGGGGCCATGTTTAATAACAAAATTGGAAGGAGTATTTATTGTAAGTAATTTTCTTGCTATTTACTTTCACTTATGATGGTACACAATTAGGTTTACAATTGGATAAGTTTTGACATTTGTACACCCATGAAACCATCATTGTGAGCTTCCTGTTTAACATCATAGAAACTTACATTCACTTCTCCAACTTAGTGTGGACCCATGAGGCACTGTGGGTTAACGCGCTGAGCTGAAAAGTCGGTTTGAACTGCAAGATCCATGGTTCAACCTTATCAGTTGCTCTTTGGGAACCTTATACAGGGCTGCTGTGAGTCAGAACTGACTTGATGGCACTTAACAGCAACAGGAATTTCCTTATAATAAGGTATCATAAATCAGTAAGAGCTAGACACATTGGCACACCCTTTTTCTTCCTTATGCCACTGATGTCTTCATTTCTTACATGGATGAATACTTCAGTGTCTTTTAAGCTTATTTTTCTCAAGATTGATCCCTTCATCTGTTCCCTAAACTGCTGCATGCCATTTGTACTATCACGTCTTCCTTTCATATCTTTCCCAAGTTTCTCATTGCTTGTGGTGGTGCTGTGCCATGGAATCGGTTCTGACTCATAGCCACCCTGCATAGGTTTTCTGAGACTGTAAGTCTCTACAGGAGCAGAAAACCTCATCTTTCTCCCACAGACGGCTGGTAGTTTCAAACTGCTGACCTTGAAGTTAGCAGTCCGAATTAGCCTCATCTCCAGACACCCTCCCCACAGGCACACTGTGTTCCACATTTGGGTTTGGAGTTCTCCAAACGTGCCATCCTTTGTCTGTTTATGTCTATACATTGTGCTGGGTCTTTCCAAATCAGCTGGGAAACCTTTCCCGAGAACCCCATGTCCTCATCAGCCCTAGTTAAATGTCAGGAAGCTTTTAGGGAGAAGAAGGATAGAGGGGCTAAAAGAGTAAACATGGAAGAAAGAAAGTAACAAGGACTCAGTAATATCAGCAAGAATGCCATTCTTCAGGAAGCATGTTAGCTCATATTAAAGCTGGCATTCCCCAAGATGGCAAAGGGGTGCAGTTTTAGGCGCCCATGCAGATAATCAGTGCCCAGCAGTAAGACAAGTTCCCTCCTGGATCATAGAAGCCGCCGCAGTCAGCCTGAACCGTCTCGGGAGCGCGATTGGCCCTCGTGCGCCGTCCTGAGTTGGCACTGCTAGGAGGAATGCTGTTCCTGTGATGGGTAGAAACCAGTCTGGTTTCTACAGGGAGCACTCGGGGCTCTGGGGTGTGTCTCTGCAGCCTCTTAGGAGCTCCCACAGTGTTTTCTTTCCTAGTGTCATGGCATTTGTCACACTGTGGCTGAGGTCTCAGTGTCACTGCACCAAATACCTCAAACAGGTGACTTCTACAAACATTGATTTTTCTCACAGCTTAGGGGCTAGAAGTCCACATTTCGGTCTCCAGCGCTAGGAGAAGGTCTTGTCTGCTCTGGGGTGAAGTGCCGCCAAATAGGTTCTGACTCATAAGGACCCTGTATAGAGTTTCTGAGGAGCGGCTGGTGGGTTTAAACTGCGGACCTTGCGGTTCAAAGTCCAGTGCTGATCCTACAGCTCTGCACCAGAAGTCCCATGAGATATATGCGCTTTTATCCCCATCTTACAGATGAGGAAAGTGAAGTTCAGTCCCAGATATTATATCATTTTATATGTAAATGTTTCTATAAAACAGTAAGGAGTACATTTTTAAAATGTAATCATATGCAGGTAGTCTCCGACTTACGATGGTGTTCTCTTTCAACGACTCCATCATAAATTGGTTCTGAAGTAAGTAATATACTTTTTTTTTTTTAATTCATCATCATTACCTTTAATTATCAGTATCTTCATACACTGTAATTTGTCTTTGGGGTTTGGAAACCTTACATATAAATTTACAGCTTCAACAGACTGCTTCCCGCTTCTTTAGTTAATATGCATGTTATATGGGAATAGGTCAAAAAGGATTGCTACTAGGGTTCCAGTTCATACATGCCAGGGTTTATTCCAAAAAAAGCTTATTTAAACATCTCTGCAACCAATGGATAGCGGCAGACAAGTATTTTCAGTAATACATCTGTCTTAGTATCATTGGGTGCCCTCATAAAAAAAGGAATCAAAACCGTGACTTCTGAGGGGATCTGCTGGACCACTTCAACTCACGGCAGAGAGGTCAGCTGGAAAGACGGAAACGGGATACTTTCCAAAGGGATAATAGCAGGAAGATTACAGGAGCATATATAGAGTCGTTATGAGTTGGAACTGACTCAACAGCACTTAACAGCAAGAAAGGAGGACGAAGGAGTCCTGATGTGGTGTTATAGGACTGCTAACCACAAGGGAGGCAGTTCACATTCACTAGCAACTCCTCGGAAACCCTATACAGGGTCTCTCTGCGTCAGAACAGAAACTCAAGGCACTTAGCAACAACATATGGAAGAAATTTTAAGGAAATTGAAATTGCATTTGTGAGCAAAGAGCCAAGAAAGCTCACCACGGAATTGTTTTTCTCATGACTGCTCATTGTTCGAGGAGCCTTTCGTGGGGCAAGCTGCCGCCCTCTACCTAGCATCTCTGATCCTGCCCCTTCAGACTTCTTGTTATCCCAAGAACTCAATGAACATTAAAAGAAACATAATTTGAGTCCCATAAGGATGCTAGAACTGCTGTTTTGATGTGGTGTAAATCGAAAAGTGCAGAATTCTTCAGGGAAAGGTCAGTGATGGAAACAACGCCTTGAGAGTTTGTAGACCTAGATGGAGACTAGATCGAGAAACAGTATCTTCACATTGAGGTATTTTTGTTTAGTAAAGGTTTCTATGATTTCGTAGCTATACTTTTTTACTTATAAGCCACACACACCAAATAAATGGACAATCATGTGCGTTGTCTTAACCTGAATATGTTGTAAGTTGGGGACTACCTGTAGTATTTTACAATCCCATTCAAAAACAGCTTCTTCATATCATCAACCATCTCATCAAGATAACTTTTTCCCGGTTCTATAAATGATTTAAATTTTTTACAATTTGGACCATTAAAATCTTGGGGTTTTAATTTTTCTGTAGATCGATTTGGGATGTTGCCATTGGACGAGCCTGCTGTTCTTCTTAGTGAAGTACTAGATCGTTTTCAAAGCCTTTGTCACTTGGAGCTACAGCTTCCTTCCCTGAGGCCGGAGGACTTGAAAACAATGGTGAGTTTTTCTTGGTGAGTGCCTCCAGGTAGGTGACAGTGGACTGTTCATGACCCATTCACATTCGAGGCACAGATCACACTGGGGTGCAGATCGCTGTGGTGCGACCTATACCTCTCTGTCTCCCACCTGACCTGCTATAAATCTTCCCCAGAAAAGAGATGGTTGTAGGATGGCACTTCCGATAAGGTTCTTTCAGTGGCGTAAATTCAATCTTACCTTGATTGGTTACTAACACTGATTGGCAGAAGAAACTGAGCTGTAACTTCACGGGGCTGCTTACGTACCATCTTCCAACGAAAGTCCTCACGCAGAAGCTAACACTCCCTTCTTATGCATAGAAATTTTGAAATGCTCTCCCCACCTGTACTTGGAATTGAATGTTTACTGTCCCTTCTCCTCACCTGTGATGACAAGCTTTACTGCAGGAAATTGCTAATTATTTGTTGCTTCATGTTCAGAGGCTGTTACAGGTTTTAGCACCAAACTGTTAGTCTCTGGTGTTTATTACAAATGTCACCCTGCCCCTAGCCAAGGCAAAAATCCCACTCCCCCTTCATCCTGTTATGTTTCTTTACTCTCAAAACAGAAATAGAGACTGTGAAAGCCCTGTTCTATCAAAGAATAAATCCATTGTTAGGCCAAGACATGAACAGTCATCTGGTTTTCAGCATTTGTGTTTGAAGTTTACAGGTGTCAGAAAAAACCTGCCATTGGGAAATTGAAAACAGTTTAGTGCTAAGAAAAGATTTTACTATTTGAAAAAACCTGCCTCCTTTTTCAATTAGATTAGAACACTTTGTGTCCTAGCTTAGCCCTTGTCTGTGACCAAGTCTTCCCCAGTGAAGTGTTGTCTTTTAAAAAAAACAAAACAAAACAAAACAAAAACCCAACTTTTTATTATGAATTAAGTAAGTTTACAGAGCAGATCATCAGCCTTACATTCAACAGATCATAAACTTTGCTTCATTACCTGCTTGCCATCATCTCATGTACATTCACCTCTATTCACTACAACGATTGCATTCCTCTTTGTGATTCTGCTACCTTCATCTTTCCTCTGCTAACCTCCCTCTTTTTGTATATTGCCTGCCCTGTTACCCATGTTAACATGAGTCCTGGTGTGGTGCTGTGGACTAATGCGTCGGACTGCAAAGTCGTTTGAATGGCAAGGTTGGTGGTTCAAGCTTACCTGAAGCTGCTTCTCGGAAACCCTATACAGGGTCACTATGGATTGGAATCGACTCGACAGCATTTAACGTTTCTGAGAAGCAGCTGGTGAGCTTGAATCATTGACCTTGCCGTTCAAACCAACTTTGCAGTCCAGTGCATTAACCCACAGTGCCATACCAGAATTCCTGTTGTCTACCCTCTAGCCCATGAATAATCTCTGCACCCCCTTAACCATCATAGATTTTCTTTTGTCAGGAAAACCTTTTCTACAACATTGGTCTCATACAATGTTTGCCCTTTTCAACTACATTGTGTGTTTCACAGATTCACCATTATTTTCAGTGTTATGTAGTACTCCATTGTGTGTGTGTACCAAAGGTTGTTTAACCATTCTTCTGTTGACAGGCATTTAGGCTGTCTATCTTTTTGGTGTGTCTCTTAGAGACAGTATATTGAAGGAGCCTGATTTCTGACCATTCTGTTCTTTGTATCTCTTGACTGGTACGTTTCATCCATTTACATTCAGTGTAATTATCAATAGGTAGGAATTGATTGTTGTCATTTTTCTGTGTTTTTGTGTGTGTGTGTGGTGCTGCTGATTTCTTTGTTCCACATAATTTCCTATGCTGAGTTCATTTTGTTTGTTGGTTTTCTTTCCATTTTCATTTCTGTTATGTTAATACTTACAAAATCTTTCTGTTTTTCCTCTTTTTTTTACTTTGATGTACAGGTGTATTATTTTTCTTTGAGATTACCCTGTAATTTATTAATTTTTTCTCTGTTTAAAACAGTCTGGTTTATCTTGAAATCTACCTGACTTCCTTGCCCTTTGTAAGTTCTGTATCTATACTTTTCTCTCTTTTTGCTTTGAAGTTGACTTCATTTTATTTGTATCTCTGGTTTTCTATTTTCAGTCTTGTAGGTTTGTTTTACTTTAAATACTTTGGAGTCCTGGTGTGGCACTGTAGGATAAACACTAAACCGCGAAGTCAGTAATTGAAACTCACCAGCCTCTCCTCAGAAACCCTACACAGGGTCGCTGTGAGTCGGAAATGACTCGATGGCACTTAACAACAATTTATCTGGATTTATTTCTGGCTGTTGTTGGTGTGTATGGTAATCACAAGTTGTTGTCTGCTGTTGTGGGTTCTTAGTCCAAAGAACACCCTTTAGCATTTTTTGTAAAGTTGGTTTGGCCATTACAAATTCTTTTACTTTGTCTTTGATATTGGGAAGTTTGATTATGTATCTTCATGATTTTCTCTTAGGATCTATCCTGTTGGGGGTTTATTCCTCTTCTTGTATGCTTATTTTCTTGTCTTTCATGATGTTAGAGAAGCTTTCGCACAACAATTCTTCTACATTCTTCTCTGTGCTTGTTTCTTTCTTTTCTGGAATTTCAATGATGGTTGTTTCTCTTCATGGTGTCCCACATAACTCTTAGACTTTCTTCAGGTTTTCCCTTCTTTTTTCTGATTGTTCTTCTATCATACTAGGATTGAGAGGTTTACCATCAAGCTCCCTAATTTGGACCTCCATTGCTTCACATCTACTCCTTTGCCTTTCAATGCATTATCCATTTCTGAGATCTTAGTATTAATCCATCTGTATTTCACTTGCAGGTTTTGTATTATTTCAGAATTTGCATTTATTTTGTCTGTTTGTTCTTGTAATGTTTTCCTTAATTCTTCTAAAATTTCTCTTGTGTTCTCCTTGCTTTCCTTAATCTTTCTATCGATCTTTGAAAAGTACCCAATTATCATTGTTTTGAATTCTTTTTCAACTGAAAAAGTTCCATTATCTTTTTTTTCTCAGAAATGTTTTCTTGGTCATTTGTTTGAGCCTTTCTCTCTCATTTCTTTGTGTGAGCTAAATTGTCTTTTGTCTATGGGGCATTGTGGCGTTGAATTTGTAAAGACAAATAGCGTAGTTGTTGGACTGGAGGGGAGAACTCTCAGGGCTTCCTGCAGTTCCGGGAGCTCACAGTGTGGTAGAGGAGATTGGACCGCAGAGCTCCTGGTTTTAGCTGGGAGTGCTTATCAGCCTCAGTGTTTTCTTACGTTCAGGGCACTCAGTCAAGAAGTAGTTCTGGGGCATCCTTGATGGAGCTGGTTTCATCATCTGTTAATACCAGACGCAGTTCTTATTGGCCTTGGTGTTATCTGTGTTCAAGGCACTTAATCCAGAAGTAGTTCTTGATTGCCCTTGATGGAGCTGGTTTATGTCTGTCAGGACCACAGGGATGCTAGAGACACTGTGACTGGTTAAATGCTGGCCTGGTGGCTCTGTGGGCTTTGTAGGTCTGGAGCTGATCCCACCTGAATCCAGGCACCAAAACGGGGTAGCTGGCCCCCACCTCGTGCTGGCCTGTCTCTGATTCATACAGCTCTGAACTCTGGAGAGCAAGGTCTGCACTAGAGGTGGATGAGGTGAGGTAGGGAGCTGGCCATGCTTCTGGGCACCCGGGCATCATAGGGAAAAAGAAGAAATCATACTCTTTCCATCGCCTGTGCACATCTGCTCTGCCAGACCTCCTTCCGTTGCTTAAGCTCCTCACAAGATGGTCGAGCCATGTTTGGTCTGCCCTCTCTCGCCATTCCGGTTCAGCCTCTTTTCCCAGCAAGCACTCCACCCACCTTTCTGACTTTTCTTCTGAAGTTCTGGGTTCCAGAGTTTTCATCTGTGTCTGTTTTGTTTTGTTTCTCATTTCATCTTTGTTATAGAGGGTCTGTGTTGCATCTGTGTAGTCCGCCATCTTGCTGGAAGCCCCGTTGTCTTTTTCTAAACCTTTTTATTGTTAATTAACTGAAGTTTTACAGAGCAGGTAATCAGTTTTATACTCAGTAAATCCTACACTTTGCTTCATTATAATGATCGCAGTCCTCTCCATCCTGACCTCGGTCGTCTTTAGCTCTGGCATTCCTCGCTGTGTCTCCTGCTACCTTCATAGTTCCTCTGCCAACCTCCCTCTTATACACTGACTGCTCGTCACCCATGTTAACATGTGAATACCCTCTGTTGTGGTTGTTATGTGCTGTGGAGTCAGTTCCAATCCATAGTTTCCGAGACTGTAAATTTTTACGGGAGCAGAAAGCCCATGAATAATTTCCAACCCGCAACCATCATAGAAGGTTTCATTTAGCAAGAAAATTTGTTCTTAGCGTCTTACAACAGTGGTCTCATACAATGTTTGTTCTTTTGTGATTGACTGATTCCCCTCAGCAGTGTCTGCAGGTTCATCCATGTTGTGAAGCATTTTGCAGGTTCGTTGTTAGTCAGTGTTATTCTTCAGCGTTTTGTAGTATTCCGTTGTGTCTATGTTGTGCCAGAGCTGCTTTGGTTAGTCTTCTGTTGATGAGTATTTAGACTGCCTCCCTCTGTTTGCTACTGTGAATAGTGCTACAGTGAACTCGGTTTGCATATATCGATTCATGTCACAGCTCTTGTCTCTTGAGGCTGTGTACTAAGTAGCGGGATTGCTGGTTCATATGGTATTTCTGTTTGCAGCTTTTGGAGAAAGCACCATATCGTCCTTCTCAGTGTTGGCACCATTTTACAGTACCACCAGCAGTGTAGGAGGGTCCCAGTCTTTTCATACTCTTGCTGCCAGCATTTGTTTCCTATGTTTTGGGACTTTGCTATTAATGCTGGTGTGGCACTGTGGGATAATGTGCTGGACCAAAAGGTCAGTTTGAACCACGAGGTAGGCAGTTCAAATTCACCAGCTGCTCCTCAGAAACCCTATACAGGTCAATGTGAGTAGGAACCGACTCAACAGCACTTAACAAAAACAACAAGATAATCTCTCATTGTTTTGATTTGTAGTC